AATGGGGTTCAATGTGGCCCAGTGCAAGGTGATGCACATTGGAGCCAGAGATCCTAACTTGTTCATTAATGATTTGGACTATAAATACACGTTGATGGGGTCCAAACTGGCAGAGACTGACCAAGAGAGAGATCTTGGAGTCGTAGTAGATAACTCACTGAAAATGTCAAGACAGTGTGCGACTGCAATAAAAAAGGCCAATGCTATGCTGGGGATTATTAGGAAGGGTATTGAAAACAGATCAGCCAATATCATAATGCCCCTATATAAATCAATGCTGCGACCTCATTTGGAATACTGTGTGCAGTTCTGGTCACCACACCTTAAAAAGGATATTATAGCTTTGGAAAAAGTGCAGAAAAGGGCAACTCAAATGATAAAAGGGTTGGAACACTTTCCCTATGAGGAAAGGTTAAGGCGCTTAGGGCTCTTTAGCTTGGAGAAACGACGACTGAGGGGTGACATGATTGAGGTTTATAAGATTATGCATGGGATAGAGCAGGTTGAGAAAGAAGTACTTTTCTCCCTTTCTCACAATACAAGAACTCTTGGGCACTCCATGGAATTGCTGAGCAGTCAGGTTAGAACAGACAAAAGGAAGTCCTTCTTCACCCAAAGAGTGATTAACACATGGAATTCACTGCCACAGGAGGTGGTGGCGGCTACAAGCATGGATGGCTTCAAGAGGGAATTGGATACATATATGGAGCAGAGGTCCCTCAGTGGCTATTAGCCACAAAGTATAGATAGGGACTCTCAGTCTGGGGCAAGGGATGCTTTGTGTTCTTGGTGCTTGGGGGCGGGGCAACAGTGGGAGGGATTCTAGACTAGTGTCCTCCTGTCTCCACTGGTGGACCTCCTGATGGCCGCTGGTATTTCTGGCCACTGTGTGACACAGAGTGTTGGACTGGATGGGCCATTGGCCTGATCCAACATTGGCTTCTCTCTTATGTTCTTATGTCTGGGGCAAGGGATGCTCTGTATTCTTGGTGCTTGGGGGGGTCAACAGTGGGAGGGGCTTCTAGTGTCCTGGCCCCACTGCTGGACCTCCTGATGGCCCCAGGTATTTCTGGCCACTGCCTGACACAGAGTGTTGGACTGGATGGGCCACTGGTCTGATCCAACACTGGCTTCTCTCTCATGTTCTTGTGAATCCGTCCTTCCCGGTTGGGCTCAGGAGGCGCCTGGCTGTCTGGAGACCAGCTGACGTTCTCCGGGACCACGTTTCTCTCCTGCTCCTCTTGAATTACAGGCCGGAATCCACCAACCCCTGCTAAAAACACCCCTCCTTTACCGTTTTTACTCAGGCCAGCTAAATTCCATGACAAGGAAATCCGCATTCTGTACAAATTACACAAACGTACAGCATTTCTCAGTTTGTCTAATCTATTTGGTATGTTTTATTGTGTTGTGGAAATCAGTTGTTTTTTAAACCACGTCGGGAAGCTCTGTTGGTCTGGAGCTGGTTCCCTTCCGGTGCTGGGCGGGGGGGACACACATCTTCCGTGGCCCACACGGGCCCTGGGTCTGCTGCTGGGAAGGTCTCTGCCCTCTCCGCTGCCAGCCCCCCCTCCTGGGGCCAAGTGCTTCCGCCAGAGGGCAGGCGCTTCCAGCCAGGGATCGGGGAGACCATCAGTCCACCTTCCCTGGGCTTCAGGCACGGACAGGACCTCAGCCTGCCTGCCTGCCTGGGGACATCCCACCTGCCACTTGTGATGCAAGAGGTTTCCTGCCCTCTTCTAGGCGTGGAGCAGATGGCACTGCGGGTGTGTGTGTGGGTGGGGGGGGAGGTATTTGTGAACTTCCTGCCCTGTGCAGGGGGTTGGACTAGATGACCCTGGAGGATCCCTTCCAACTCTATGATTCTAGATCTTGCATGTTGCTTCATTGTACCGCTGTGGCTAGAGTCAAGGTTGCTTTTGCTTAAGGTGCACTGGGCCCCACTTTGCAGGAGAAGGGTGGGGGAGACACGTTTTGAAATACATTCAAAATAAATGAATCCGCGTGAGACTTCCCGGGATGCTGAGCCAGAGCCTGGCTGCTGTGGTTCAACCACAGAGGGGGACCCAATTGAAACCGGATTCCAATCTGGAGGGTTAGTGCCGGTTGTCAAGACCAAGGTCTTCTTGGGCGGGCACTGCGCTGCCCACAGGAGTGAGAGGTCAACTAACACTCACTTGACGTAGTTAAGAGTCTGGGGGCTCGACAGGACCCCAGCAACACTGCTGGAGAAGCAGGCTAACTCTCCTGCCAATGAAGCTCTCTTCTGTCTTCCTTCAGGCCCCCCCCCCTTGACCCATGACCCACGGACTCTGATCTGGCAGAACCGGGTTTGATTCCCCACTCCTCCACATGCAGTTGCTGGTGTGACCTTGGGCCAGTCACAAGTGCTCTCAGAGCTGTCCTCAAAGGAGCTCTCTCAGCCCCACCCACCTCACAGGAGGGTGTCTGTCTGTTGTGGGGAGGGGAAGGGAAAGGAGTTTGTCAGCCCCCTCTGAGACTCCTTCGGGTAGTGAAGGGCCATGGGGTAGAAATCCAATCTTTTCTCCTTCTCCATTTTGGCTCGAGGTATATAGAATGCCACAGGCTGATTCTTCTTGGGAACCCGGTAGAGTCTGGACATGACCCCCCCCCCCCCGCCAGCCACTTGACTTCCTGCATTCCACGCAAGAGGGCCATGTCAAGGGCCTACGCAGCCGTGCTTCATGGCCTGGGACCCACCTGCCTCGCCGCCGTTTCGAATGTTTGTTCGAAGTTTTAAAATTTGCCCCCGAGGGCTGCCGGCTGACTCTGAGCCAGGTGCCCTCTTGTTCCACCCAACTGACCCCTCGGGGCTGTTCAGAGGAGACAGCGGAGGGGAGGGGGGAGACGCCAGCCGCTTTGGGGGGGGTCCCCCTTCGGGAAGGAAGGCGGGAAACGGCCTTTGTCGGACGGCTACGGTTCACACACCAAAAGGGACGGTCGCTCTGGCTGCTGCCTCCCTCCGGTACCGCTGCAACTCTTTGGGCAGAACGGCTCATTCACAGGATTCGAACTCCCGCTAAAGGTCTTGATCGCAGCAAGCTGCAGGGCCGGCACCTGCCGCCTCAACCAGCAGCAGCAGCTGCAAAGTCTCTCTGGTGCCTCCGGCCCCCTCCCCAAGATATCCCAGAAATGTCATGCCCCTACCCTGCACACGCACCTCTGAGATGCCGGAGGGAGGGAGGGATCCCCGGAACCAGCTGCCCCCCAAGGAGGACCTTCCCTCCTTCCACAAAGCGAAACCAAGGCCACAGTTTGGCTGCTCCCCAGTAACCTCTCCTGGATCTCCTCCTCGGTGGAGCCTCTGTAGACCCCAACCGGCCAGAGCAGCGCTCAGCAGACCTGAGGTGCCTCCAAGAAGGCGCATCCCCCCAAACAACCAGGACCCTCACTGTCAACGTTTACGCCACTTCCATGAGAGTGAGGTGCAAACCGTATTCATCAGAAGCAGCTGGACTAAGCACAGCGTATCCAGTGGAACTACGGCCAGACCACACGGACCACAAGCGCTCCCAGAACCAACACGGCACCCGTGCCCACCAGGACAACAAAACACGCCACCGACTTGCTCCAGCTGCTGAGATCATGACCCAAAGCCCCGGCCAGCTACATCCCCTGGAAGGGGTGGCCGCGTGTACACAGCAGCCGCTGCCGCCACCACTGCCACGAGATGCGTCGCACCACGACCTTCGAGTCCAGGAGCACCTCAGAGCTTCCGAGAGTCCCGTCTCCCTTCGTCAGATGTTGGCTGTTCGACCGCTCACACTGCAGCTCCCACGCCCTGAGCGCCCGGGCCGAGGAGGGAGAAAGAAAGCGGAGGCCCCTCTCTTACCCAGCACCAGCGCAGAGATCCAGGCCGCTGAGCGGGGCCCCCCGCAAAGGTCGGAGGAACAGGCCACTGGAACGGGGAGGGTCCAGCTCTCCCCCCGGGAGAGGAAGGGAGGGCAGGGCACACCCAGGCCAACAGCCTCCGGGCCTCCTCGAGGGCTGGGCCAGAGTGGCAGGCGCGCGGCCATCCCCACCGGCCCTGCCCAGGCATGCGGGACGTTTCCCTTCTGGTGCCCCAGGAACATACCAGGCTCCGTGCCCAGGCAAGCAGCGCAGCGGCGTATTTGCAGGTCACACAAGCGGCCACGGATGAAAGCAGCCGCAGCCTGCCCACGCCCCTCTAGTCCACGTCACGCAGGTCCTGACTGGGCTCAGAGGACGGCTGGTGGGGGATTTGCCCCGTGGGGTCTCCCGAGGCGCAGCCCTGTCCCCACACCTTCCCCTCCCTCTAGGCAAAGCCCTTACAGACAAACAATCCCGCAGCTGGCTCACGCTTTGTGCTGGCAACACCCGGCTCTCTTTCGCTCTCGCTCTCTGTGCCCAGGTCTCCTTGGGACGCAGCAGAGGGCCGGAGCCGTCGCCTGACCCGCTGTGGCTAAAGAACTCCGAGTGTTGAGAAGGGCAAACGGAACCCCGGCAAGACGGAGGCCACGCCGGTTGGGAAGGCCGAGGACTTGAAGGGCGCTGCGCCTCCCGCTTTTGGCGGGGTTTAGCTGGCCCTTGCTGACGTGGCCAAGAGCCTCAGAGCTGGACTAGGCACAGAATCGCTGCTGGAGAGGCAAATGAATGCAGCTGTGACCGCCCCTTCCCCGTTTAGCCTGGAAGAGGGCCCCCGACCCCAGCTCCGTGGATCTGGCCACCTGGACCCATGCTGCGGTAACATCAGGACTGGACTCCTGCCGTGCACTCCGCATCGGCCTGCCCTTCGAGTCACCTTGGGACCCCCGGTGGGTGCAGAACCCCGTGCCCTGGTTGCTCCCGGGAGCCAGGAGGAGTGGGCCCAGGTCAGACCCTTCCCGTCCCACATGCTGCCGGCTGCCCGTCGGCCCCCAGATTCAACCAACCCAGGGCCCCGGCTGTTACCACCCACCACCACGCCTACCACGGCCTCTGACCCTCAGACGCGTGCCGGACCACTCCTCCGCTGCGCTCCACCGCAACTGTCGGGGGTCCTGTCTGCAGGGCCTCCTGAAGGGGCCACCCTGGGGATGGGCAAGCGTAGTGGTGGCTTTCCGGCCAAGAGCC